GTGCGTGAGTGTGTGGGTGTGTGTGTGTGTGTGTGTGTTGTGTGCTTGTGCTTACATGTACGTCTGCGTGTATATACGCGTGTATATATCGATGCCCCACCTACACAACCCCCTCCCTGTCCGCTTGAACGCCCCCCCCCCCCCCGCCGAGCCCGCTGACCCGGCCCTGGCACCCTCAGGAGCGGCGCCATCCCGAAGTTCCTGCTGTGGTCGGCGCCCTTCGACGGCAGCTTCTGGAGCGCCCAGACCGAGGACGTGCGCGAGGGCCGCTGTCCGCTCCCCTGCGCCGTGACCTTTGACCCCGCGGAGGTACGGGACCCATCAGCGGACGAGACGCAGCTGGCGGTAGCCCTTGCTCTTGATTGATTTGTTATTACTGATGTGATTATTCATTGCGATCGTTTTTATCATTAATGTTATTACTATTATTATTATTATTATTATTATTATCATTATTTATCATTATTACTATTATTATTATATATTTTATTATTATTATTATTATATTATTATTATTATTATTAATTTATTATTATTATTATTATATTATTATTATTATCATTATTATTATTCATTATTATCATTATCATCATCATTGTTATTACTATCATATTTTTTTTTTATATTATTAGCATATTATTGATTATTATTATTATAATTGTTATCATTTATGATTATTATTATGATTATTTTACTGTTAGTATCATTGTAATCGTTATTAATATTGTTATCATTATTATCATTATTATTACTACTATGAGTTATATTATCATCGTGATTATCACTATCATTTTTGTCATCGTTATCATAACCATTATCATTATTTTTATTTACATGACTATATCATATCCATTATTATTGTGATTGTGATTGTTATGATTATCATGATTATCCTCATTAGCATCCTCAGATATTGCCACTGTTGCATGTTGACCGGCGATCCTCCGGCAGGTGAAGGAGGCGGACGCCGTGGTCATTTACATCCGGTTCCTGCCCAGGCGCGCCCTGAAGCTGCCGGCGCTCGAGCCCCGCGACCCCGGGCAGCCCTGGGTCGCGCTCAGCTTCGAGGCGCCGCCGAGAGCCAACAAGAACTTCTACGACGACTTCCGCCTCCTGAACGGCGCCTTCAACCGCACCATGCTCTACCGGCGCGACGCTGACGTGGTCGTGCCGCACGGCTTCGTGGTCGGGCGGGGCGAGGAGGCCGCCCTCCTGCCGGAGGTGTGGCATGGGCCGCCCGTCTCCGAGGTCCCCTCCCGGGAGCGCAAGTTGGCGGCGACCTTCATCTCGAACTGCAAAGCCGAGAGCGGCCGCTTGGATTACATTCAGAAAGTGCAGCAGTACATTCCTGTGGACATTTATGGCAAGTGCGGCCCCCTCAAGTGCGGCCACTCCATGTACGTCCAGGACAGGTACAGCCCCGCCACGGACAAATGCCTGAGGAACACCGGCATGAACTACCTTTTTTACTTCGCCTTCGAAAACTCTTTGTGTCACGAGTACGTCACGGAGAAGCTCTACAACATACTGTACTACCCCACAGTGCCAGTGGTGTTCGGGGCAGCCAATTATTCCACTCTGCTCCCGCCCAATTCCTTCATCGATGCTCGGAGGTTCTCGCCCATACAGCTAGCCAGTCTGCTCCAGCGTCTGTCGCAGTCGCCGAAGGTAAGTTTCGCCGCATAGAAATAGATAACAACCCTCCCACAGGCTGTTTGGTGCCCGTAGCCCATCGAACGATAAAAGCAATTTTGCCAAAGCCATTAACCAGCAACAATAACCAAAAAATCAACATGACCATGCAACTATGAAACCATCATCTTCATTTCCTTCCTCACCACCTCTCCCCCTCCCCTCCAGGAGTACCTGAAGTACCACGAGTGGCGCCAGCACTACCACGTGTCCCTGTGGGGGGGACAAAGGTCCCTGTGCCACCTGTGCGTCCGCCTGCACGACCCCGCCTTCTACCGCTCCCACGTCGTCCAAGATTTTCACAGCTGGTTTGTTAATGAATCTCGCTGCGGTTGGAAGTAACGGGGCGCCAGGATGCTTGTCCATTTTTTTATTATTTTTTTATTTTCTTTCTTTTTTATAGATTACATTCTCATCGCAGTTGGATTGGGAATTCTTAACATACTGTTTATGTACGTGTATGTATTTGTTGTGTTCATGAAAATACACAAACTACAGAGACAGGCAAACAGACAGACGGACGGACAAACAGACAGATGCACAGACAGAGACAGGGATGGACGGCCAGTTTGTTAGAAATGCGAGAAACCCAACTAATGAATACTTTAGACATGCACTAACACAGAAATAAAAGCATGTACATTTATCTAGCTGTATACCTACCCACACACACACATGTGTATATATGTGTGTATATATATATATATATATATATATATATATATATATATATATATATATATATATATATATAATATACACACACACATATACACACATATATATAGATAATATATATAATATATAT